CCTGAGAGTTATAATAAGAATATATATATATATATATATATATATATATATATATATATATATATATATATATATATATATATATATATATATATATATAAAATCCCTAAATATGTATTTTTTATCAATCATTTTTTTTCTATAAAATACATTATAATATATTTTTCTTGATAGTTGTTAATAAAATTTAATTCACAACTAATTAAATAATTTTCTCTGGTTTCATTTATATTATGGGCTAATACTCAAATTATATATTTATCAATTGTCTTTCAAAAACTAAATTGTAAAAATTGATACAATCAAATTTTAATTGGATTGGATTAAAATTTAGTTCAAATATTTGGATCCATGTATTGAAAACCAAAATTAATTTCGATTCATTAGATTGGTCGTGATCAATTCCATCAATTCAAACAAACACCCTAACAAGGCCTAACAAGTAACAACATTGGTAAATGCCAAAATGTTGATATTTATTTCTCAATAAAGAGGAAAGGGACATATTAATGCAAATTGTTTCTTTAATAATAAACATATATCGAAAACTAAAAACATTCCCAAATACTTTTACTAAAAATGTATAATGCAACATAATTAGACCTTTTATGTTTGAGATATTGCTCACTTAGTTAGTGGTTGCAGGCTGTTTGACCTAATATTAATTTTGTATGAATGAATAGCACAGTTGACATTATTATTTTTTATCATTCGACAAATTGTATGAATCCAATCAGAATCAATTAATGGAAAGTCGGAATTGAGACCATAGTAGTTTATGTCAAATATGTTAATCTTTTATTTCATAGGAGTGCATTGCGCAACCTTAATTAGTTCACCAGTGTCGAAATCTAGTATATAATACCTTTGTTAATATTAATTAATCCAGAAAACAAAATCAGAAAAAAAAAAAAATGGAATTGAGACAAAAGCAGTACATCAAACTATATGGTGAAGAACACTTAAGATCACCAAAATCCTATATACGTAGGGGTTGTTCGTCTTCCACGACTCCTTACCTAATGTCCCCAACAAACAAACATAGATGCCATAATCATTGAGTTCATGAAAACAGACACAAAAACACAGGTAAATTAATCAACATAAAAGATTAATGGTTACTTAAGCTTCTTCAATTCACAGTAGCATCATCAACGAAAGTATTCAGTACCTCCACATCAAGAATCTGTGTAAACCAGGTGTGGCGTTACTAAAGCCATCAAACGAAACAGATGTAACCCCATCAACATTCACATAAAAATGCAACTCATTAAACAAACCCCTCCCAGCTATGTGGAGTCATTTCTGAAAAGGGAACAAATATAAAAGTGGAAAGCGACGAAGAATATTCCCAAATACTTATACTCATATACTAAAATAGTATATGCAACTTATTATATATAATTAGCCACTTTAATACTTTATGTTGGCGATGTCATTACTTTTAGGGGTTGCAGGCTGTTTGATTCAGCAATAATTGTTTATGACTAATAGTACAGTTGACATTATTATTATTTTATCATTCAGCAAATTGTATTACTCCATATATCCAAAATCAAACTGGAAAGTCGCATAAGCATGTTATCATTTTTTACTTATTGAGTAGTTGATATTGTTTAAACTGCATTTGAAAACGTCAAAATGTTAAGCATTCTTCAAATAGTTAAGAGGAGTGTCTTGAGCACTGGTTTCCACAGAGTTGATTTGGTTGTTACATATTCTATCCCTTCCAATAACTAAGGCCTTTTAAGAACCATAAGTTGAGAAGTTGCTTACTTTTATATTTTTATCAAATTAATGAAAGAAGATTTTGCAAAGAGTTATAATAGAAAAAACCACTTTCATATTCATGATGGAACATACCATGTAAATCATATTCATGGTGGAACATACCTGTAAACCATTGACGATTCTAAAACATAAAACTATATGGTTCCAATATTAAAAAATACATGTCTTTAATTTTTTTCATACTACAAGATAGATCCTTTTTTTACAAACTTCTAGAAAACATTAACATAGGTCCTGTTGAAATTCAATCCAGACTTAATATTTAAACAATCCAGTAACATAGGGTTTTTTTTCTCAGTTTTTACAGGTTTAAAAGAAAAAGCTTGTATCTTAAAAATTTGAACCATATCTTTTTATTACTATAAGTTTATAAATTATATATTTTTTGAAATTTATAGCCAAAATAAATTATTCATGCATATTAGTGTTTATCGTAATATCAAAACAATCATTTAAATCAGTTTAAAACATAATAACTGATAAATATTTACATATTCTTAGATAAATTTGAAACGTAAAAATTAAAATTTAATGTACATAAGACTAGGGTGTATTATTCTTATTTTTACTATGCTCAACTCATTATCATGACCTATCGTCTAAGAAACGGTCACCATCATATTTTTAGATTTTTCTAGTAAATATATGATATATGAGAGTTTTTAATATGTATAAATAATATATATCAATATTATATTTTATTTATTAAGAAATAAAAACCATAAATTTTAATATATTTCTTTTATAATTTTTCAATGTATATAAGACTTAATAATAATTTATTTATATACTTTTTTTAATAGACATGATCGTTATGAATAGTTTCTTTGTTGTTCATTATATATTGACCACCAATCTTATATTGTTTCTTATTTATTCTCTTTTGTTTTTTGTTTGAAACTATCTTTGGTAATCTTTGATTATTTTTACTTTCATATGACTATTTTTATCCATTTGGTTTTTTGTTTTATGCATTCCATTCTTTTGTTTACTTTTATTTGACTATTTTTATCATAAATAGCTCTTTCCTTTTCTTTTGTAAAGTTTTGTTTTTTTGTTTTGCTTTGTTTTTCTTTTCATCGTGATCGTTTTCTGATCGTCATCTTTTGTGAATAAAACAATACATATTTTAGTAGTATATATCTGTATCAATAAACGTACAAAAACAGCCACAAAGATGACTCATGATTTACCACGGGTCACCCACTAGTTAAAAGTAAAAATGAAAAAAAAAAAAAAGAAAGAAAGAAAAAGCAGAGGAGTGTGGTGATTTTACTTCACGAGTAAGGGATGTTTGGTAGAGTCTGAATTTTTAAAAGGGTCTGAATTTTTAAGATCTGAATTTATAACATATTGTTTGGTTGGAACATCTGCAATGTTGCATGATAAAAATGACAATTTTACCCTTCTGTATAATTTTTGTTTATTTCAATATTTTTGTTTTAAAAAATAACTAAACAAACTCTTTGAATTATTATAAAAAATATATATAAACACAATACATAATCCAAATCAAACAAAAATATTTTCAAATCCACGAAATAATACTAAAATTCAAATAAAATCCAAACATAAATATTTTCAAACACAACAAAAAAACTATTCCAATTTGTTCTTTCTAAAATTAACTTAACCCTATCCTTCTGTTTTGATGCCTTTCCTATCTTGGATTTCTTCATGTGTGAGATTCGTTGCATATGATCAACATCAATCTTTGAAGCAATGCTATAGCCTTCTGCAACACAAATAGGATGAATGTCAGGTTCCAACCATACTGAACAACATAATTGATATAAGCCATATCCATGTTACATCATGTAGAACAAAAAACCAATCAATCTTTGAAGCAATCCTGTAGTTGGGCTTCTGAAATCACACAAGACAGAGATATTTGTGCATATTATGTAAGAAGGAAATCCAGTAAGCATATTAAAAAAAATCACATCATCGGAAATACCCTCGCTCTAAATCATGAAATCAGATTTTCCGAGATCAATCGCGACATCCAAATGTCAAGTAAAATTGGGAACAGGGAAAAAGGTCATTTTGCGAGTCTGTGGACTAACCTTCAACAAATCAAAACAAAAGTCATAAAGAAAATCTAGAAGTAGAATATAAAATCATAAATTGGTTGACGAAGGTGAACGCATCAACGAGGATGAGAAGGAAGCACCGGCGATAGGGTCTCCGAAATCGCCCGAGCGCTAGGGCTTCGAAGGTTAAGAGGGTGTTTGCATTAGGGAAAGAATATGATTTCAAGCAAATATCACAACCATTCCCGCAAATATAATCGAGTTTTAGGGGAAAAAAACTTACCAAGAAACGTGTTTTGACGAGGAAGGTGGCGCTACCGGCAGAGATAGAGGAGGCAGCTCAATCGGCGAAGATGGAGACAGCGAAATCGTTGGTGGAGGGAGGTAGCTCGGAGAGGAAGTGAAAGGGAGAACAGGGTGCCAGTCTCGTGAAGTATGAGGTGAAGAAAAGAGCGTTGTAATTTTCGGGGTACAAAGGGGAAAGACGCGTTCTTTTAAAATTTCAGACATTGTTCTACCTCTGAAAGTTAAAGTGGCATTTACAAAATTAAAAGACAAAAATTAATAGGCTACCAAACGGTATGAATCTGAATTTTTAAAAGACTGCCTCTTAATTTTCAAATTAAGAGGCAAACAAACAGCCCTAACATTGTCATCACAAGAAACGGTGTGGTATTCCCACTAAATAACCGTAGGTAATTCCACATCAATACACATATGCGCGGTCCCTAATCTTTAAAATAGTGGTACCAAAGAAATACATATTACATATATAATGGTATTATACAAATAATTAACTACATATTACATATATAATGGTATTATACACATAATTAACTAAATATTCATAAATTCAAAGTCAAAGGACGGATTTGCACAAAGAAAACTTTGTCAACAAATTTGATGTTAATAGACACTATACCCGTATAACGCTATATTTGCTTTTTAATGCTTAAATTTTTATGCAAATCCAGAAAACAAAGTGAGTAAAAAGAAAGTTTAATTAAGACAATAGCAGTACATCAAACTTGACTTACATGAATGTCCTAAAATTCAAAACAAACATAGAATGCCATAATCATTAGGTATTAATGAAAACAGATACAAAAAGACATATGCAGGTAATTAATCAAAACATAAAAGAATGGTGTAAAACGTCACATCTCCTTAATATACTTAGCCAGTTCCACCAAGAACAGCCTTAAGCTTCTTCACTGTAGCATCATCAAGGAAAGTAGTCGCCTCCACCAACGAAGAAGGCAAATCATTTGCAAACAAAGCAAAATCAAGAATCTGTAAGCCAGGTGTCGCGCTACTGAAGCTCGCAAATGCGACAGCTGTCACCCCACCAGCATTCACTTGAAAATGCAACAACCCTTGTGGGAACACCATAAGATCACCCTTCTGTAAAGTCTTGACATAAACAGTGTTAGCCGATGAGATAAACCCAGCCTTGATGAACCCTTGGGTCACCAGTAAAAGCTCGGACCCACCTGGGTGGGTGTGCATTGGGACCACACCACCAGGGGCTAAGTCCAACCGGGCAATGGAGATCCCGAGCCCGTTGACTCCGGGCAGCTGGGCAGCGAATGCTGGAGTGACAGCGGCTTTGATGATGTTGGAAAGGTTTCCTGAACCACGAAGGCCTGTGGATACAAAGTCATCGACTGTGACTACTGTGGCTGGCTTGCAGGCATATCCAGCGGGGCTTTCTGGGAATTTTACGTCTGCGACACAGAAGTCTTGGACTGCTGCGTGAGTGGTGAAGGTGAAGAGAGAAAGGAGCAAGAGAATGTGGATCATTTTTACTTGGGATTTGAATTGAATGAAGGATTGATGAGTGTTGTGGGATGTTTCGGTGGTGTTTATATACAAGGTGGATGTGGTTTTGGTGTAGTTTGAAGAGATAGCCATGCAAAGGAACTGCAACCATAGGATTTGATCTTCTGAATAAAGTGGAAAAGAAAGCTGGAGTGGTAGTGACATCCATGTTACTAGCTATAGACGTCGATACAACAGATAAGACCTTTTAGGTGAAGAAAGTTATTACAAAAAGCGAATATTGGCTCTGAATTTCCAATCATTGGTAAATTCCTTTTTTTATAATCTTTCTATACTTGTTAATTTTTTGGCATATTATTTTCCACTAATTTTATTTCACAAACTTTTTCAATGATAACCGTTTCAAAATTAATTCCTATGTTATATAAAGACCCTCGTATATATAATTTGTTGTTTTTAAGTATGTGTTGCATTTTCGGAAAATAACATTTGACATTAAGGGGGGAGCGAGTGGCTCGCTAAGGGCGCCAAGTCTACTCCGTAAGATGTGCTAATAAACTTATCAGGTGAGGCTCCTTGTTAGCAAGAGAAAAAAGAAAGAGACTAATAGAATAATGGCTTGTGATTGATCTTTTTTTTTCATTTGTTATTTTAAAGTAGGTCTTTTGATTGGTTCTTGTCATTTGACTTTTTTATTTTCTAAAATGCAAGTGTAACTTTTTTTTTTTTATGACAAAAGCTTACATGGAAGGTAAATATATGATGTGACAATGTACTTAGTATGTGCTAAGCATACTACCATTCTCTATAACTTAATCTTTCGTATCTTCTCTAATAAATAAAAATTATTATTAAGGCCAAATAAGTAACCCCATATGGGTAAAGAATGTTTGTTGTAACAAATATTGATATTTTAGTATCATCATACAACGAATGAGAAGGCAAACGGGCAACAAGTTGCGTCAATAAATCCTTTTGTCAATTGTTATCTTCTAATGCATTATGTCATATGTTTTTTTCTTATTATTTTCATTTTTTTTTTCTACATGTTATTTTATGGTTTTTTTTCATTTTATTAAATAAGAAATTGTCAGAAAAATCCTAATATTCTCGAAAAAATTTCAGTTTAGTTCCAAATTTTATTTTTTGAATAGAAAAGTTCCGATTATTTCATTTGGCTCAAATTAAAAAAAATAAAAAAAAATAAAAAAAATTCTTTTAACATGAAATGACATATTATTGTGTAAAATCAAATAATCGAGATTTTTCTGTTCAAAAAATAAAATTTGGGACTAAAGTGAAACTTTTCTGAAAATATTGAGACTTTTCTAATAATTTCCCTTATTAAATTCCATATAATATTAAATGTAATAATAAATAATATATCAATTTCATTAATGGATTTTTATTCTAATTTCAAATTTACAAAATTAAAGTCTTATTAGTTTTCTTTGTTTATTTATCTAAATTCAAACTTTTGAAATGTTTAGAATTTCATATTTAATTTTCTTTTAAAAAATCCATATAATACATAAGTCTCACACTTAATATTTAAATAAATGGAAAACGATATTATTATGTGCATCTATGTTTTTTGAAGTTTGATATACTTTTGTCATTTTGAAAGTTTTGTCAATTACCTTTTAATATAAATTTCAATAATATTTATTTATTTATTTTTATTTAGTTAAATAAATTAACTATAAAAAATATAAAATTTTAATATCGAATACAGTTATTGGGTGTAAAATGAAATGTTATTAAATATAAGTAGAGTGTTGTCATTTAAAAATCTCTCCAATGATTAAAAAATAATTAAAAAAAAACTATCCACTTTTTTTCTAAATATTATTATTATTATTATTATTATTATTATTATTATTATTATTATCTTTTTTTTTTTATTTTTATGAAAAGCTAAATTAGAAATGCTTTAACAACCAATATAGTGTCCTCGAGGCAAAGAAGATGATGTGTAGTGATCATGACCACATTCATGTCTGTTTGAATTGTTTTTTAGGGACCATGATCAAAGTGCTTTTTAGCCAACTAGTTAGTGATATCCATGCGATTCACTCTGTGCGCATATCTTAGAGATATTTTAGGTGCATTTCCTTGCTTAACCCTTGAACACGAAGAACTTAAGACTATGTAACAATCCTTGATTATTTTATGCATATGAATATATACACATAGTTTGGAGTTTAATTTCTTCTGATTGTATTGGCAAAACAATAATTAACTAGTTTTTTTTAAAAGACTTTATTATAATGCCATAGGTTTAAAAAAAAAAAAAATTGTTGGTTCAAGTGGAAATTTGGTGATTTAGGTAATTCGGTTATCAAATTAATAGTTAAAAGGGCTACGGTTGGAAGTGGTATTTTTTGCGACCAAAGGAGATAATGAACGGATGGCCACAGTCTTCTTCCATATTTATAAGTCTTTGGCCAAAAGTCTCTTGCTAAAGCTAAAAGTTGCAAAATGAGTGTCTTGAAGGTTAGGTAACGCGTTAAATGGTCTTCGGCGAAAAATAAATGATTTTAATACGAAATGAGAGTATCAATTTTGTAAATAAAATAAAAGGAAATTACTTAATGGAATAATATATATTTTTATTTTGTTCTTATTTAGTAACATATTTTTTTATTCATTTGAAGATTTAACTTATTTCTTTTTACGTATTTAATTTTTATAATCGACTGCTCCGAGTTAAACTAGAAAAATGACGTAATACGGTAATATAATTTTCAGTTTGTATAAATTTACTCTTTAATGTTTTTGTACACATTTAATCCTTAAGATCGGTTTCTTCAGTTCTGTTCACGACATCCTACGTGGGACAATCATTAATGATGTGTTTTCATATGTGGTTCGTCCCTCACTTATATCGGTAACTGTAAAATGTTGTCGTGAACATCTTAAACAAATAAAAATCACTGTGTGGTTGCACTAATTGGTAGCTCGGGGAAGAAGGAGGGTCAAATCCTTAAACACAACCTAAAAGCCAATGTCTCTTTACGTACCACACAAATTAGTCAAAAACATAAAATATAAAAAAAGGTTTTTGTTGTGAATTAATAACTGAAAATAGCAGTGAAAATAACTTAATAAAATTCAATAATAAAATTGTTTTAGTTTTGTTGTGATTTTCCTAATTATGTAATCAACACAAAACTTGGTTATTTAATATACATTCTATCTAAAGTGATACAGAAAACTACTAACAAGCTCTAGTTAGTTCTCTTTTACCTAATTAATTAATTAAAACAAGTTATTCAGTTAATCCTAACTTTTTACTAATCTAATTAAACACACTTTTAATCATGTTAGGAAAGCAACATTATGATATGTGTAAAATTCTCAGTAATATTCAATACTTCTAACAAGTTCGGAAATGTATAAATATGAAATTTTAGTTTATAACAGAATCAAATCCCAACATGTAACTGATGTGTTACTTGTTACTAGTTTATCAAAACAATTATGGATATCAACAACCGACTAACTAGATTGATTTAATTTTAATCAGGTGATAGGTCTAAAAAGAACTAAAAATCTAACATTCATTAAGCGCAAAACTGAAATAACTAGATATAATCACAAAGTACAAACCAAATCTCATGATTGATTACATAAAAAGTACTCATTTTTTGTAGAACAAAAAACTAGGGTTCTATCCAAATATGGCTAAAATATGATAAAAATTAATAAAAAGAGAAGTCAAACGACTAAATCTTACTAAACTAATTGAAAAAAGACGATCCACGATCTTCAGATCTTTAGAAATTGATGGAAATGGAGAAAATTCGCCAAAAATTATTTGAAAAAGGGTTTCTTTCCGCCTATGCTTGTCTAGGGTTCAACTGAGAGGACCCCTGGTATTTATATATCAAACTTGGTAACAAATAAGGGTTCTGGAAAGAAGCATGAGTCGTGCTTGGGAAGCACAACCCGCGTTTGAAGATGGGTGGAATCCATGTGTAGATAAATGAAGTACATTACCAAAAGGGACTTTTTTTAGAGTCACAGGCATGAAGCACAAACTTTGCTTAGGTTTCCAGGTCGTGCTCTTCAGACGTAAAGTAATAATCCTAGAAATCTTGTAAAATCAAAAATAAAATGCCACAGGGAGTAAGCAGGGCTCGTTTTTGGGCTATGCAACTTTAAATGTCAAAAATAATGCACTGGTTGGGATCAGGAAGCAGGCACGACTCGTGCTTGGGAAGCACGACCCGTGATTCAGGACCGAAGTTTTAAAAGGCCTAAATGCTCCAAATACTTAAGTTCAGTAAGTGGAGAAGGCCCGATCTTGGTATTTCTTTTAGAGTTTTGAATCCAGATATGCTCCAAATATGCATCCAAGTTGCTTCCAAATCACTGTTCCACTCAAAATATCTAAAAATGACGTAAAAACATGAGCGGTACGAGAATTATAGCGAAAAACATGAGTTGAACTTTATTTAAACTAATAAACATGAAAAAGCATAAAATATGATGCAAAAAACTAATAAAAACTAATATAAAAGATCCATAAAATGGCATCTAACAATAACCTAATTCACAAATTGGTCAAATAATGTTGGTGCCCTAGTTTTCTCCAAGTAGAAGATGTTTTCAGCTTCAATTGCATCTATCTCTGTATCATACAACAAGGTTATTTGTTATTGTTTCTTCCCAACTCGAAGATATTTTCTCCAAGTAGAAGATGTTTTTAGCTTCGGTTGCATGAAAGACTCTAAACTTTTTTCCAGATTGTCCTTTTGTCATGGAAGTGCAAAATCGAGTTGGGATGAAGTAAACACAAAGATTCTTGTTGTCTACTATGGAGATAGATGAAACCAAATTCAAATACATATTCTGCTTGGAGAAAACTAGGAAACTAACAATATTTGACTAATTCATGAATTAGGTTACTAATATAAGGGAGTGATGAGCCACGTATGAGAACACCTCATTAATGATTTCCCCACATAGGATGACATGAGCAAAACCTGAAGAAACAGGTTATTGATACATGAAGTGACCCTCGACAGCTAAGATTATTTTGGGGGTTTTCAAATTTCTTTTGGACTAATGATGAGAAGAGTTTTGTGATGGGTGATGAGATGAAATTTGCTTTTGAGTTATTGAAAAGAATTGATGGGTTGAAGATGATATGCAAAGACTGGAGTCAAGGAGCTTATTCAAAGAGTTGAAGTATGTTT